AGAAGGGTGTCAGAGGATGACTTGGATGGGAGATATTCAGGCAGGGAGAGGGGTCTCCAAACCCAAGACCCACAACATTAATGGATAATTTGAGGCACAGGGAGGGGCCAGAACCCACCCAGAGTGACACAGGAGAGAGGAAACTAGAACTCAGGGCTCTGAGCAAGGAGCAAGGGTATATTCCAGGCTAGGAAACTATCCAATTCAGCCGAGAGCTTCAAGTGCTGACAGGAAGTACCTCCAAGCATGTGTATCTGGTGTGTGTGTGTGTGTGTGTGTGTGTGTGTGTGTGTACGTGTGTACACATGCATGTGGAAATGTGCAGGTGCAGAGAATGCAGTTGGTAGGAGCTGGGGGTAGGGTGGTGGGGTGGAGGTGGGGGGGGCGGTGCCTGGGTGATGCCAAGCCTCCTTTGTGGTTCAGAGGGAGTGGGAGAGACACAGAAGGGGAGGCTAGGGAGGGAAGAGGGCCAGAAACTGGGAGGGGAGGAAGTGGGGGCCATAGGGAGGGAACAGGGCTGAAGGAGGCAAACCAAAGGCTAAGATGAGAAGAGGGGGGTGGAGAGCAGGGGAAACAGGAAGAAAGGGATGGAGAAAGGGAGGGAGGAGAGGAGAATGAGCACTAACGGAAGCTGGGCAGAGGAAGAGAGGAGAGGAAGTGGGAGGAAGAATTTTCTTTGTTCTTTCTTCTCTTTCCCAGAGGGTGAGAGGAGGCAAGAGGGGCCATGACTGAGGGGGTGATGGCACCCCTGTGGCCCCTTCCAGGTAGGTCCTTTGGCTGAGAGGGGCACGTGTATATATAGCCAAGCTGCTGCTTCCCCTCCCATCCTAGCTGGAGTTGACCCTGCCTGCCAGTCACCTGCCAGAGCTATTTCTGGAATGTGGAATCTGGGTCAGAAAAGGGGAGGGAGGGTGAGAGGGGGTGGTGGCAGCGGTACTGGCAGCTGGGAAGCTGGCGAGCTCTAAGTGGGTGGGTGGGTGGGCAGCTCCATGTTCTGCCTAAGGCCAGTCCTCCCCTTCCAGGCTCTTACTGCCTCAATAACCACTCCTCACCCATATCCTCCTACTTTCTTGCATATGGCCTGAGTACATACATGCCCATGAGAGAGTGACAAAGAACTTTCAACCCCTCAGCAACTTGGGGGCTCAGCACAGCCGTGGTGGGGGGGGGTGTGTGTGCGCATGACCAGAATTCTCACTTCCTGGGAGGAGGCAGCCTTCTGAGCAGGGGTGACCCCTGTGGGGAAACAATGGCTGAATGAGGGTGGGCCTGTGTGTTGGTGTTAGTGTGGGTCTATGTGGAGGAAGGGCATTATGGGCAAGATTGCCAAGGTCTACTGATTAAGGATGCCACATATATAAGGGGGGTGCTGTTTACAACACAGACATAACTGAATTATATACTTATTATGACAAAATTGTGGCAGATGGCAGTAAAAGACCTTATTCTCGTAAAAACTATGCATCATGACAATTTTTCAGCATACGGCAATTAAGTGTCTGGAGGGGAGTGCCTTTTCCTAACCCGGCACAAAGATACCATATGGACCAGCTGCAGCTCTGGGCACAGGCTTGAAAATCTGGTGGCTTTGGTTTTCCCTGTGAGGCAGGTGAGTTTACCTGCTGAGCATAAGGGGAATCAGGGGGTGGAGGAGAGACGAGCAAGTATATAGTGGTCACTGTGGAGACCTGAGGGAAGGCTGACCAGGGATATGTCAGGGGTGAATTTTTCTTATGGCTCCAATCTGCTAGAGGCACGACTTCCTCACAGGTGTGGAGGTGGTAGGAGTCTTGCAGACATATATGTCTGTGAGTGCATATATGCAGGTATATGTAGAGATCAAGTGTATATATGCTTGATCTCAGATACATCTGAGAGTATCAGTGTGCATGTGTTTTTATAATTTTTTAAATCCTATATAGCTCTGAGGGTATACAACTTCCTGTACGTCTACAAAAGGAGGTTCATGTAGGCACATAGGTCTGGGTAGGTATGAGATGTTGCTACGTGATACTTTCTTAAGTGTCTTGGTTTGACTAAAGCCCCCAAACTAGGAATAATTGGAGGTTCACATCCCTACATTTAAAGCCAGATGTGCCAGGTGTTGGATCAACCGTACAAGGTAGACTGGTGGGAGGGTCGGGGGAGCTGTGGCTGATTGAATTTTTGGCCTCTTTTAAACATTTTTTAAATGTTTATTTATTTTTGAGAGAGAGAGACAGCCAGAGCATGAGCAGGGGAGGGACAGAGAGAGGGAGACACAGGATATGAAGCAGGCTCCAGGTTCTGAGCTGTCAGCACAGAGCCTAATGTGGGGCTCGAACTCACACACCACAAGATAACGATCTGAGCCAAAGTCAGACGCTTAACTGACTAAGCCACCCAGGCACCCCGCTCTTTTTCTTTTTAGATTCTAGGTTAAACAATCAAGAGAAGCCACATCCAGACCTGACATAAATCATGAGATCCTGCTGTTATGACTGGATGAGACTTTGGGAGTCTTGGGGATAAGTGTATTTTCTATGTGAGAGGGACATGAATAAATGTAGTCAAGAGAGTGGACTACAGTAGATTCAATTATTGACCCTAATTTTTCACCCCTCCCTGTATCCACACCATTGCCATAAAAATACAGTTCCTTACACGAAAGTAGGAGGGTACCTCGCTGTCTCCTTTGAGCTTAGTCATATGACTACCTTTAGCCAACAGAATTTCAGTAGATAGCACACCAACAGGGGCCTTGAAATGTGCTAATTAGTTAAGCTTGCTCTCTTATGCTTCTGCCATCACTATGAGAAGAACATGCCCTGGCTGGGCCACCAATGCCAGGAGGACCCCTTTGGTTCTACGAGGAGGATGAGAGAGATGTGGAATAGGTCTGTTTCAGCTGACCCCCACAAATTTGGGAGCAAGAAATAAGTGTTAATTGTTGCATTACACTAATCTTGTGGTTGTTTGTTATGCAGAACTATTGTAGAAATAGCTGCTCAATGCAGGGACCCAAACAGTTCTGGGACATGTAGTCCATGACCCATCCTTAGTCCATTCGTGAGACATTGGGTTTGCAGAAGATTTGGGACTGAGGGTCTATTTGAAAAAAATTGCCGGTGTGCTATGTGTCCCCCCAGGCCCACCTGATGCTTAGAGAACTTCTCATGGGCCTGATGATATGGGGAATCTGACCCCTTACCTGAGGTTCCTATGGGACTGTAGCAGAGTACCTGGGAGAGCATGGCAGGGATCCCTTGGATTTGGAGGCTCTAGAACGTGGGCCTCAGCATCTGCTAGGAGACCTCTGAAATGGAGAGACTGGTATGGTTACCAATGACAGCAGGTCTAGAAGAAAGGCCGTAGCAGATAAGCCCATACTTTCCGAGTCCCACATGGCAAGAGCCTCATTTTCACACAGGTAAAGTGGGAGTCAAGGAAGAAAGTACGGCTGGAGTTGTCATCAGAGGACTTTGCCCAAGATGACTGCCTGGCAGGGCCAGGTACCCTAACAAAGAGAAGTTGAGTGAGGGGGAGGGGGACCAGCAGCTGGAGACACTAAGGGGGAATAAGCAGCAGTGGGCTGGAGGGGGACTGCCCATGTCAGGAAAGGAGGCACCACGAGGGCCCTGCAGGACAGAAGAAACTCCAGAAGCACGACTTAGCAGAAAGAGCCAGCATATCGCATCTGTTATATAGAAAGTCCTGACACCAGACAACACCCGCACTTAGCTACCTTCCTGTCCCGCCTGGAGGGACCAGAAACAGCCACTAGTGAACAAGGAACAGAGAAGACACTAACCACCATACCCAGCTCCCTACCATGGGCTTCGTAGCCTGAGTTAGGATCTACCTGCAGAAGCATAAGATCTGAGGTTGATAAGACTGAAGGCTTGCAGTGAGTCCAGACAGGACTCTTATTACCTAAAAATGAGACTATTCCTTAAAGTCTAAAAGTGACTGAGAAAATCTCAGGGATCTGCCCAGATATCACCCAGGGTTTGAAAGGCAATAGTGAAACAAAGTAGTTTCTGGCTCTGCCCCCTGCAAAGACCAGTTCATTCACTCAGTAAACTAATTTTCTGTACATAGAACAGCCATAGGATTCAAGTTCATTTATTTATATCAAATACCAATTGAGCACTCGAAACATGTCTCTTTTCCTACAACAATCCAATCCCAACTGCTTTTGATTGCCAAGAAAGTCAGAGTCAAGCCTGCGAACCAGCAATAGTAGCTCCCACCATGTGCAAGGCTGCCTGAACACTCCCTACATACAGTCTTATTCTGTCTCCCCAGGAGCTCTCTGGGGTCTGGCTTATGCTTCAATTTATAGATGAGGAACCTGAGACTGTGGAAGGAAAACTAGCTAGCCAGAGTAGGATCAAAGCTCTCTATACTAAACCAGAAATTGTTTATGATTTTCTTTGGTCTTGATTTTCACGGCTTGCTCTGTGACACAGAGTTCCCTTTTTCTCTGATCAGGCATGGACTGTCTCCAGAGGACTTAGAACAGGTATCAGGAAGGACAGGTTGTCTCTGTGACTATGAGAGAAACTTACAAACTCACCCCTCTGAGAAGACTCCATGCAGATGCCATCCTCTTGCCTGTAGGTTCTAACACTCCAGATAGGTTCACCTATTGTCTACCTGAGCTAATCCAAACAGGGAGGCAGGGCTGCAGTAAGCCCTGCCCACCAGCAGGTGGCTGCTCTGAGCCAGGGTCTGGACAGTCCCTAATATCCAAGTATCCCAAGGCAGGAGCCCTCTGTGACTCCCTCACCCTACTGCCGTTGATGACATCTGCCTCTGTGACCTCCATTTGACCTCCAGTTTGCCAGCTTGTGGGAAGTTCAGTCTCAAGGCCTCTTGCTTTTGCTCCTAACCATCCCTCCAGCCCTGGCTAGCCCACCATAGATTCTTCCCAGGCATTCCCCGCATCTGATCTACCAGGAATTGTCCTCAGGTCCCCGTGTGACAAACAAAAAGAACCCCCTCATCTCAGTACTCACTCGGAAGCGTGCGACTGTTGCTGAGGCTGCCAGTGCTGGGCGGGGGGGAGAGGGACTGCAGGGAGACACTGTCCTCCTCCTGCGAGCAGCCCGCCTGGATGGCCCGCAGGTAGCTGTGGCTGCGGGAGCGAAAGTAGCTGGGCAGCGGCAAGTCCAGTGCCTCCGCTGCTGCAGACTCTGCTTCACTGCAGGCCGACTCGCAGGCTGCCTCATACTGGTCGCTCAGATCTGCCTCCCGTACCTATCCAGGCAAAGGCGGGCGTCAGGGGTCAGCAGTGCCCATTCTGGAGGGACTGGGCACTTGGTGGATGACTCAGCTTCAGGGCTGGAGAGTCTGTGGGGCCTCAAGTCAGCCCACCCTTTCCTCCCATGTCACTCAAGGTACTGGGTGGGCAGATGGAACCCTTAAGAAATATATACAGCCCCTGTCACTTCTCTGGACCTCAATTTTCCCATGTCTACAATGCAGGAGAAACTGGTAAGGATAACTTAATAGATCTTGTGTGTCCATACTGATCAATTGATAGGTTTTGAGGTCACATCTGAATTCAGCCAGAAAGAAGGCTATGATCAATTCGTAATGTCTACCTTGGATGTTGGAATGGGAAGTGGCAGTAGATGTGCTAGATATTTACCATCTTATGGTCCAATCCCTTTATTTTCACAAGGAAACTGAGGGCCAGTGAGGGGAAGATACTTGCCAGGTGTACCCAATGAGGAAGTGGCTGAATCAATACTCTAAATGTGAATTTAAGGAAGATTAATGTAGCCCTGCGGTACAGAATGAATGTTGGGAAGGGAGTCTGGAATGGAGGCAGAGGCCAGAGATGAAGCTGATGCAATAGTCTGGTGAGAGAAGATAAAACTGGAATAAGGGTAGTGGCAGTGAGGATTGATTAGTGATGTCTGCCATGGGCAGTATGAAGAATGGGGACGTGTATGCTATGTGCCATCTCACATCCAGTTCAACCTTGTCTAGGTGGTTTCTAAGTGTCTCTCTAGAGATGGCCATCCAAGGTCCTACAGATCTGCAGTTGAGAGTGTGGGCATACAGGGGCCCACCATCCATATACTCTCCAAGGGTCCTGGAAGGGTATGTCTGACCCAGGTCTCAGGGCATGATGGTAACTGGAGACCACACAGTATAATCTGAGGAGTCAGCTGGCAAAGGATGGATACTGAATGGAAGTCCTGGGGGAGGCCTGCGCAAGAAGGGAGAGGGCAGAAGTTGACTGAGCACCATGTGGAGGAGAGATGGAGCTGGGCCTGGGACCAGCTCTGCCTTGGACCTGGCTGTGTGACCTCCAAGTATCACTATCCTCTGGGTCAGTGTCTCCTATCTAAATGAAATGGGATGCTTGTGTACTTGTCTGGCACTGCATCAGGTAAAACGACTAGATGGATCATCACCCAATCTGCAGCATATGTTTGGAAAGCTCTAAATTTGTGCTGTCCAATATGGTAGCAGCTAACCATGTGTGGCTATTTAGGTGTAAATTAATTTAAATTAAAAATTCAGTTCCTTAGCTACACTGGCTACATTTCACTTGCTCATGCTATCTTACTGGACAGCGTGTAGTACACAACATTCCCACCTTCACAGAAAGTTCTATCGGACGATACTGATAAACTGAAATGCAGGCCATGTGGCATACCCAAAACTCATCTAGAGTGGGTATTCAAGAGATAGGTGTTTATCCTCCACAGGTACAACCTGAAGTACACTGAAAGGCCCTCGTGATTGCCAAGGGCAATGAGGTCTTGCTTAGGGACTGCAGCCATGGCATAGCTCTGGAACTAGGCTGCCAGAGTTTCAACCCTGGGTCCATCATTTCCTTGTAATATGAATGTAGGCAAGTCACTTAACTGCTCTGTGCCTCAGTTTCCGCATCTATAAAATAGGGACTAATTATAGACCAGATTTCATAGGATTGTTGTCAAGATTAAATGAGATAATTCATATCACATGCTTAGAACAGTGTCAGGAGAGTAAGCACCTGGTGACCTGTCCCTATTATTATAGGCAGCTCTGTGAGGTGAGTACAAGGATTTGTAAATATTGGCTAAGATGCTCACAAGCTCTGGAGGGCAGGCCAATGGGTCAGGGCTGTTGGTATGTATATCGCTGAGGATATACTGTGTGCAGGGAATGCCCTGGAATTTTGTATGTTAACACATCACATCCTTACCACGAGCCTGTGGAAGTTAGGGGAGAAGGAGGTCACTTGGCTCACTGTGGGCTCCCCAAAGACCCTCTGGAATAATGTGTTTGACAAGAACCATGACATGAGGGTGGAGGCACACGAGGCATCCATAGCTGGAGTCAGGAGATGAGGGGCCAGGCCCAGATTTGCCCCTTGGACAGGTCCCTTGTTCACTGCTGGCTGCAATGAGGGGGTGAGCTTGGAGCACCTTTCCTGTCTCTCTTTATGGCCTTGGGGCTGGGGCCTGGGAAGGAGGAGAGGGCCACTTCCAGGGGCAGGATGGGTGTGTATGGGAAGGGGGCACCATTAGGGCAACCAGACAGTGCCAGGACTGGCACCACCTCCACCAAGTTTTGTAAAATTGAAAAGTCTCTGCATTCATGCCAACACCCCAACATACTTAAAGGTCTTGCTGGAGCCCAAGAAAGGTGGCCAATACCACCAGCCCGTGGCCATCAACTTGTCCAAATAAAAGTCTCCTAGCTAGAAGACTCTCAGGGTATGCTTTCTCTTATCCCAGGATTATTTCTTCCCCCATCCATAGGACTAGCCCATTCTTTCCCATTTTTAAGAAGAGGAAACTGAGGCACAGAACAATGAAGTGAAAGGGCCAGTGAGTGGAAGGTCAGGGCAGAGTGTGGGTCTCACTGGACGTGACTTTCCTGGTGCTGGCTCTGTTTCCTGGTTCTGGCCTGGGCAGGGGCTAAGACCACTCAGATGCCAGGTGTCAGGCCTAGCCCTGGACTCTGGGATCAGGGTACAAGAGAATGGCAAGCATACTGACCTGCTGCTCATGGCCAAACAACTGGGGGATCAGGGAGGCCTGTCCAAAAATCTGCAGGAAAGAGAGGGGGAGGGTTATGGGGAGACCAAAGGTGGGAACTGGGGTAGGGGATTCAGGCTCAGCTGCAAGAGAACTAGTGGATGGCTGGTCTAACCTCCCCAGACTGGCTGAGGCCTAGGTGCTAGGAGGTCTCACTTAGCTTCCTTCAGGGATGGGAGGCTCACTCCTTACAGGGCTGGGTGCTACTGACGATTTGTAATCTGCGGTTTACACATGTTTCTTTTGGTCTGGCCCCTGGGAGATGCCCTGTCTGCTGCCTCTCACCTAGGCAGGTGGCTCCCCCACCCCCAGATCTACAGATTAGGCCCAGAACCCAGAGACTTCTCTTCCCTGGTCAGGGCCTACATATCCTAGTGCCTGGTGGGAAGGGGGCTCCTTCTGGCAGGAGTCAAGGCCTCAGAGACACAGCCAGAGGGATATCTCGGACTTTAGGGGCACATATGTGGCTTGGATCACTCTTCCAGGGATAAGGGTTTGAGAGCTCAGAGGGCCCTGGCCTAGGAGAGGGCTGGGCTGGACAGAGGGCAGTGGCAGAGACCTGGTGGCATCCCCAGCCTGGCTGATTCCATGTGCTCTTTTGTGTAGCCAAAGGACAAAAGTGTTCCTTCCAGATGCCAGGGCCAGGCAGAGGTGAAGATGAGTTGTCTGAGAGAGGAAGACTCAGAGAGAAACATGGATGTGGGACCTACCAGAGGGAGTTGGAGAAAAATGTGTATGAGGAGAGAGAAAAACAGAGGGAGACAGATACAAAGAGGAAGACTGAGGGACAAGAGAACATGGTAGGATGGGAGACACAGGGAGGGAAGCCACCCATTCAGCAAACACCTATGTGCCCTGTGCCTCGTGCTGAGGTCAAGGACGCCATGGGGAACCACATAGCAAGGCCCCACTTGCAGGGGGCTCCCAGTCTTAAGAGGGAGACAGACACCAAGTAAATAAACAGATATAATTCCAGATAGGATAGTGCTGTCAAGAAAATGAAGCAGGGTAAGGGAACAGTGCCCTCGGGGCTCCTTTAGAAAACCATAGGGCAGGTTCCCCTGAAGTGACATTTGAGCCAAGACCAGAAACACGGAGAAGAACCAGCTGAGCAAATATCTGAGAGAGGGGTGCTCCTGGGAGAGGGAACAGCAAATGCAGAAATCAGGACAGGAATTGGGTGTGTGTGTGTGAGGAGCAGAAAGGAGGCCAGTGTGGCTGGAACAGGGTGGCTGACAGAGCAAGTCTGAGATCCTGTGTGAGAGAGAGGCAGACCGTACAAGTCTGAGTGAGGAGTCTGGCTTTCATTGAGGGCAGGTGGGAACCATGGAGGGTTTGGAACAGGAATGTGGTGTGATCTGCCTTACATCCTTCACAAGCTCCCTCTGGCCACTGGGAACAGAGTGCAGTTGACAGGCCTAGAGGCCAGGGCAACTGTTCATGTGAAATTTGGCGGGGCCTGGATGAGGATGGCAGGGACACAGAGTCCGGGGTGCTCTATTCCTCCCCATGTCTGAGGTCAGTCTCCTTGGTTTGGGAACGACAGTGCTGTGGGCAGGGGGCTGGGGTTGGAGCGGGGTGGGGTGGGGGGTGGCTTTGGCCAGGCGAGGAACAATGGAGTGGTGAGGAGCTGGGGTCCAAAAGCCTTCCAGGTGTAAGCAGTGCAAGCTTGGGCCATGGGGCTACACACAGTGGGACCTGCGGCCTGTTCCTGCCCAGAGAGGAGGCTGGGTCTGCACCTGGCGCCTCCATTGCCTCACTCTGCTACTACCAGCAGGTGTTGCCTTCTCTGGGCCTCACCTCCCCATCCACACCATGCGGGGAGCCCTTGAAACTTAGCTGATCCTCCCTTTGCAAACCCTAAAGTGCTGTGCATATGTCAGAGGCTGGGGTCCGGGTCTAGGTCTGACAGCCCCGGATCCCTGCCCAGCTTTGCCTTCTCCTTGCTGTGTGGCCTCACTTATCTGAGCCTCAGTTTCCTCATCTGTGAAATGGGGATATAAGTAATAAGCACACCCACCCCCGGAGGTGGCTGTGAGGGTTCAAGGAGTTGGTGGTTATGAGAATGAAAAAGTACAGCACAGTATGCTTATTGCTGTTAGTGGCAGAGGTGTCTGGACCCTGGAAGTCCAACTTTCCACTGAGCCGGTGGGCCTTGGAGGTCCAGAGTAGAGAAGCAACTTACTCAAGGTCACACAGCAAAATAACAATAATAACCATAAAGTTAGGCACCCTTTTCTGAGAACACTACATTCATTATCTCATTAATTCCTCACAACCTTTGAGATAGGAATTGTCACCCTTCTGTGGTAAATCAGGAAACTGAGGCTCAGGGAGGGAGTGACTTGTCCTGGGTCCATACTATCAGTGACAAGACTGGAACTCAAACCCAGGTTTCCAGTTACCTCTCTTCATGGCTCCTGGGTCTATAGCAGTGGTGTGGTCCCTCCCTCAGGGCTCTCAGCTTAGTTCATGCAATGTCAGGCCCTGTGACTGCTCTCCAGGCACAGGACAGTCAGTGGGGCAGACATACATACACAGGCAGCTTCAGGAACAAAGACCAAACAGAAGCACAGTGCGGACATCTGGGGACTGCTCAACAGGGGCTGAGCCTGGATGTCTGTCCTCTTGGGTGAGAGCTCTCACACCCACTGACCATCTGGCTACCCACTACGCTCACCTGGCTGATGCAGCTGGAGTCGTTGAGGCTGTCGCTGACGGGATTGTAGTCCTCCTCCCAGCTCGGACACTTGGAGGGCAGCAGCATGTCCACTGAATCCAGGCGGTCCAGACTCCTGGTGAGGGTGGGGGGCAGACAGGGCTCAGCACACCCATTGTTCAGCCTGGGAAACTGAGGCCCAGAGGGGAAAAGACTGGCCAAGGTCATCCAGTGGCAGAGGGAAAAATGGAAGTCACTGCCAGCCTGTGTAGTGTTGGTGAGTGAAGGAGAGTAGGTGGGTGTCAGGGTCAAGGAGCATGGGGAGAGCTCCCAGCTTTTGGAGGCTTGCATCTGGAGTGTGCAGGTGGTCCCCACCTGTCATGTCTGCTGCAGCCGCAAGGTGGCAGCACAAGCTCACTTTTGACCATCTCAAACCCAAGGCAGAGCATACCAGCCTAGTTCATGGCTGGACGGAGTAGGTAGGTCAAGGCTCAGAGCCTTGATTTCAGGCTAGAACTGCCCAAAGGGCATCAGTTTCCAGATGGTTCCAGATATCAGTTTCCACATGATATCCAGATGGCTTCCACCAGCCTCCCAAAGACTCACCACTTCCCATGGCCCTGGCTCTTCAATTTTTCTCACATCTATCTGACCCTGGGTTCCTCCTTCACCACTGCTCTGGGGTGAAGATTCAAGCACCCAACAGCTCAGGCCTTGACACAGATGAGCTTGGATTGGAATCCAACTTCCTCACTGGGTGACCGTGGGCAATCATAACCCCTTGCCTACGTCTCAGTTTCCTTACCTATAAAGTGGGGATGACAATGTGCCTGCCTGCTTGAGGATTCAGTAATGCAGATTAAAGTGCACTGGGGCAGGTAAAGAGCCCAGAGTACAGCAAGTGCTAACAGATGGTGCCTGTAACTATTGCTACTATTGTATTATTTAATTCCCTCTCATTCAAGGTCTCTACCTGGGTCCTGTCCACCTCTCTCACCTCAGTGCCCACTGGTCATTCACGGAGCTGTGGGATCTCAGTACTAGAAAGTGTCTTAGAGATCATCCAGCTTAACCCCCTCACTTAAAGATGGGGAAACTGAGACTCAGAGAGGGACAGACCTGGGACTGGACAATGGTGTCCTGAATTCCCACCTGGAGACCATTCCTTGCCTTCTGTCCCACTGTGCACCCTTTAAGCAAATCCCTGTCCCAAGGAGACTTGGCTTCTCTGAGGACACTGCCTCTCCCTGCATCAGTGCTATGTTACTGCTTTCTTCCCTCTGTCAAAGTCTTCCCAGAAGCCTTGGCTCATGCCCCTAGTAGTTGAAGAACTAAGCTTGTTTCCTTTAACTCTCCTTTTTGTTTCTGACTTGCTTTAGTTTCTTTTCCTCAAAGGACTCTAAAACTGCTCTACTAAGTTTTACCTGGTTTGCACTTAGTGATGGGCTTTTCTGTAACCCCCCCCCCTTTTCTGTTCTGATTCCCATGGTAACTTCTGCATGTGAAGCCCTCACATCTAACATTTTAATTGTTGCTTTCTGTGTGCATGCATCTCATTTGTTCACACTTTCATTAATTCTTCCAAGTCTTAAAGCAACAGGATGGAGCTCAAATGGTGGAATTCTAGGCAGGGTGATGGGACAGGTGAAGGTTATCTATCTCCCTTTGACTTAGGGATATATCCACCTCCTCAGCCTTGGAGCTCACCACATGCATGAATTACAGGGGCAAGGGCAGAGGGGTCTCTGGCCTTCCCTGGTCAGTACCTTGCTGGTACAAGTGGTGGGCCCACTAAGGGCAGGGTTCTCCTAACCTGAAGAAGAGGGTTCCCTAGCACAGTTCTCCTGTGGGAGTGTAACTCACCTGGGCATGTGACTCCTGTGGGCAGGGTTTACCTGGGCCACTCTAGAGAGATTCTCTTTATTGTTTACCAAAGGATGAGGCTCACCTGTGGTCGGGACTTAACTGTTGGGGGCTTATGGGGTGGTTCAACAAATGACAGAGTTCTCCAGAGTCACCTTATCAAATGCAGGGCCAACCTAAGGATGACGATCTCTGGGAGAGGGCTAACCCAGGGGGCCTGGATCTTTGGGAGCCCGGGTTCACCCGGATCTTTGGCTGTACGGCAGGATTCGCCTATGGGGTGGGACTTTCCTAGGGGCCCGTAGCGGAGGAAAGCGAGGTTCCCAGGAGTGGGACGCACTTGTGAGGAGCTCATCTAGGGACTAGCCTTGCCCGTGTGCCGAGCCCGTGAGAGCGTAGGACGCTTTCCCTGGGAAGGAAGAGCTCACGAGCGGGAGGGGCTCCAAAAAGGGCAAGTTAGCCTGTGGGCGGGGCTCCCCGGAGGCAGGACTTCGGAGACGTCCTGGGGCTGGTACTCGGCGTTCCGGGGGGCGGCGCTTGCCTGTGGGCGGGGCTCTAGGAGGCGGGGCAGAGCGCTCACCTGCGGGGGTTGCTCTGCTCTCCCAGCGACTGCTGCGTGGCCCTCAGGTAGCTCTGGCGCCGCGCTGCCGTCTTGGGTGAGGGCTTGGGGCTGCCGCCGGACTCGTCGCTGTCCTCGTCACCCATGGCCTTGATGTAGCTGCCGCTGCGCATGCGCCTGCAGGGTATGGGGCCCTCGGCTGCGGAGTCCGCCTCGCGCGGGGACAGCAGCGCGGTGCTCCACTCGCCGCCGCCGCCGGGCACCTGAGGATGGGCGGACAGGCCTCAGTGAGGGTGGCGAGGGGTGCGGGGCAGCGCACACCCTCAGCGCGCCGCCGGCCGCCCAGCCTCGGGCACATCACCTGGGTAATGGTGCTCCGGACCCTGAAGCTCCCCGGCTCTCCACCTCGGAGGGTTTTGGCCTTCCATGCTGGGTACTGCCTTTGAAGCCACCTGGCAGCAGGGCAGAGCCCCAGGCTGGGATGGATACTTGAGTTCCAGAGACAGCTCTGCCACAGCTTCACTGTGTGGCCTTAAGCAAATCCTTGCCCCTCTCGGGCCTCAGATTTCTCTCTCCGTGGATCCCAGGCTGGGTGCGCCCCGGCCAAACCGCCCAGCCTATAAGATCACAATGGTATCCACTGCAGCTCCCCGATTCTGAGCACCCACTGTGTTCCTATCACTTCACTCTGTTATCTCAGAGGATAGCTTATGAACCCACTACACGGATGAGAACATCAGGCCAGAAAGAGGTCCTCAGACCTGGCACCAAGAGCCTGTCCTATGATGGGGGCAGGGAGGACTGCTCAGATGACACCAGCACATCAGTAGGGAGGCAGGGTTCTTGGAGCCAGTCAACATCCTGTATCTCACTGGTGGGTAAGCCAAGGCACAGGGTGCAGAGAGGCTTGTGGGAGTCTGGCAGCCAGGTGGTGACCTGGAAAAAGGGCTGTTTTTCCATCTGACATGTATACACAGTGGACGTTCACTTCATGATCAAAGAGTACACACATCTTAGTGCCTGCAGAGCCTCAGCCCAAGCACAGAGTGCACCCACCCTGCCATGTCCACATATCTCAGAGAGCAAGCAAGCATACCTTCCCCCACACACCCATCTCACCAAGGACACACCCCACAGCCTCCACTTCGCCACGTGCCCGCCCCTACACAAGTACACGGCGTGAACACAGAGCATACTCACACCCGTCCTCACAAACACAGTAAGCAACCACTACACCGTGGACACACTGCAACATGACCCTACTTCACTGTGTCTTTGCCTCAACATGTACAGAGTGCACAACCTCTCTAGGCTCTATACACTTCACCACAGATGTCCGGGTAACAAACATTTCTCAGTGTCCACACCATACCCATTCTTTACCTCATGCACAAATGCACACTCCCAGCATCACCATACCTACACAGACACCACATCCTTCTAGATGCCTGTACTGCCAGTGGCCAATTCTTGGCTAAGGGACAGTTCCTGCCTGGGACTCCCACCCCAGGACTCTCCCATGTCCCATTTGGCCCCCAGTTAACTGCCCAGCCAGTTACTAGGGCCTGCACATTCTATCTCCCATCTTCCCTACCTCCATCTTCCCTACCTCCACCTGTCCCTTGGGAAGGTGACATTCTATATTCCTGCTTAAAACCTGTTGCTATCCCAGCATCCCCCCACCTACTTCCCATGACCCAAGCAGGCAGCACAAACCCCAGGGCCTGCAGGGCCGTCCTTTCATGATGTTTCTGAAGCCTTTTCACATGATCAGACCAAACCACACCATTTTGAGAGAGAGCCAGGTCACACACCATCCTTTCTGATGTTTCTAAACTAAGGAAGTGGATTGAGAACCACAAAAGCCTTAAATATATAAAATACTGCCTAGATTTCATTTTCCTGCTATTGAAAAAAAATAGCTTTTCCCCCCATAGTCTCTGTCTTTGGAATTTTTATATAGAATGACAAGAACTCAGGGCTTTGTCAGACTTTGATGTTCATCTGCTTCAAAATGCATCTAATGTGTTCCCAAAGGCTGACCAGGTCTGTGCTGGCATACCCCCCAGGATGAAGCACTCACTACCTACAGAAGCAGCCCCTTCCATCTTGGTGGGTATTGAAATCTGCTTCCGTAACCTCCACCCCAGCTTGGGCTTTGCCCCCAGGAACTGTGCCCAGTTCATAGCCACTGGCCCTGCTCTTGACAGCCCCAGGGGATGTGTAGCAACAAAGATGTCTCTGAGCCTTCTGCCACTTTCCAGGAGTGTGCCATTGATGCATAAGTGCCTGAATAAACATTAACATTTGAAAGAAGCAAGTTAGTCCTGAGCTGGGTTAGGGCCTCCTGAAGCCCTCCATGCTGATCTCCATTACACTCTGTTCACACTGACATGACTATCTGTTTATGCATCATTCTCTCCCAGCATTCTGATAATCGGGGCTCTGTCTCATCTATTTCTAGCTCTGTTCACTTAAATGTCCATCTGTTCCTCTACCCTTCTCTCTTCTCACATTTCCTGAGCACTACTTCTCTGCCAGACCCTGTCCTGGGCCTTAGGGACACACAGCTGCATCAGATGTGGTCCCTGTCTTCAAGGAGCCCATGGTCTGGTGCAGACAGCAGGCAGGAAGTTGGCAATTAGAACGCTATGCGATTGGTCCTGTGGGGAGGATGGATGGCACAGCTTCCAGATTTGTCCTCTAGAGGGCAGGTACATGTTTTCGTTTCTACTCTGGGCTGGGCTCAGAAGAACCCTAATCAATGTCTGCTGAAAGCATGACCAGTGGAAGGAATCCTCTTATTAAGCAGGTACTGCCAGACACCCATTTCACAGTGTTTACTCACAGAGGCCCAGAGTGAAGCGACTTTCCAAGTAAATCTGTGGTTACAGCTGGCTCTCCGAACTGGTGCCTTCCCCACAGTCCTCACCCCACCCCTAACCCAGGCAGGGACCCACCTGCAGGTAATGGTAGGCTAGACCCTGGTGGCAGGATTTGGACTTTAGCAGGCTCTTATCCAAGGTGGCTGAGGTCTTCTGGCAGACCTCGTGGGCGTGGCTGAGGGTCAGAGTGGACCAGGAGCCCCGCTTGACATAGTTGGTGTCAGTGCCCACCCCGAGGCTGGGACAGGCAGCTGGGGGTGCAGGAGGGGGTGGTGGGGCAGTCAGCTCGGTGGTGGTGTTTTTGGCTGCTTTGAGCATGTGCCCACTGATGGTGTTGTAGGCGTGCATGAAGTAGCGTGGCTGGCTGCGTTCCGCCTGTCGCCCCAGCGTCATCAGCCCAGAGGCTGGGCCACTGCTGCGGAAGGCGCCACTCTCACCGTCCAAGTTGTCATCAGAGCTCCACCAGCCCGAGATGTTGGAGCGGCTACGCCTTTTGGGCTCCCCAGCCTTGGCCCGCTCCTTGCTCTTGGCCCTCCGGCCCTTGCCGTCCTCCAGGCCACCTTTCTTGCTGCCATTGCCACCAATCTTGCCTGCCGTGGCCTCCAGTGAGGGTGCCTTGGTGAAGAAGAGCCGCTGGACTGAGTGGACCAGGTGGCGGATGCGGCCAGGACTCTCACCACGGGCCTTGGCCTCACCACGGGGGAACTGGAGCGTACTAAAGCCATCGCGATGGATGGGCAGCTGCTTCTCAAACTGGTCCAGGAGGTTGGCGGGTAGCCGGTTGATCTTGGTGGCCTGGGCATGGCTGGGAAAGGGGCTCTCCTCCGGCACCTCGAAGTGGGAGTTATAGTGGATGCGGGGAAAGGTGCTGCTTGGAGGCGGCAGCTGGTTGTTGAGTGGGAAGAGACCATCTCCAGGCAAAGCGTTCTGGCCAGGGAAGCGAGCCTCGCGGGCAAAGGCCTCCGTGGGCGATAGCAGATAGGGGTTGCGGTCAGGCCCTGCAAACAGGGGCTCATGTGGTGGGTCCAGGCTGTCGGAGAGGTGGCGGGGGCGGCTGTCACCGAGGCCTTTCATGATCCCAGCCCTCGGGGCAGGGGCCGTTGCCCTAGTGGGGCGCCCGGGTTGCCTCTCCCGGGCGGCAGCTGTCCTGAGGGAGAGAAGACAGAGAATAATCAGCTGAGTTTGGAGGGAACAGGGTTCCAGGAGTGTCCTCCAGACCCCCACAGATATCAGGATTGGGAGGATTACTGAAGACTCTTGGCCTACCCTTAACATTTTGGGGTGGAGGACAAGAATACAAATGGAGGCCCACAAGATCCCATGCTGGCCCTGGAAGCAGGCCTGAGCTCATTTGGGTAGGGAATTCCAGGGTCCCCAGTATCCATAGTATGGCTCTGAGTGAGCATGTCCCCTTGGCCCCTGAACATTCTTGCCTATAAGGAAGAACATGGTTGTAAGAGGGCCAGAGAAGCCTTCTATTTTTTTTAATGTTTATTTATTTTTGAGAGAGAGAGAGAGAGAGAGAGCGCGAGAGCGAGCAGGGGAGGGGCAGAGAGAAGGGAACAGAGGATCCAAAATGGGCTCTGCACTGACAGCAGCGAGCCTGATGTGGGGCTTGAACTCATAGACCTCAAGATCATGACCTGAGCTGAAGTCGGACATTCAACCCATTGAGCCACTCATGCGCCGCCCGCTCCCCCCCCCCCCCCCCCAGAGGAGCCTTCTAAAGAGTGGGGTCCAGGATAGGGCCTGTCTCACCTGGGTCTGAGGGAAGTACTGTCCAACTCTTACTTTAGCAGAGGATTCTTACATCAAAAATAGACCCTCTATAAAAACCTGCTCTGTCCCTCAACAGATGTCTACCAAGTGTGACTTCTGCACTAGGTGCTAGAGGCTCCAACATCACAGAAGCCAATAAGCCCATTAGCACATCATTTCCAACTGGGATAAATTAATGATGGTCAGCCTGGAACAGAGTTCCCAGTGAGTCAATAACAGGAGCACATCCTCAGGACTGGGTGGACAGGACAAGGCCTTGGTTGAGGGTGGCATTTAAGTGGAACCACTATGACCCAGTTTCCCCATTTGTAAAATAGGGCAGTTGGACTGGTTAGATCTTCCATCCAGGACCATGCAGGAAATACCAGTCTCAAACTTAGGCAAGTACCTTTCCTTTCTGGGCCTCAGTCTTCCCGGAGGGGAGTTAGTGAGGTTTTTGAGCCCTGGCCCCACCACCAGCTCTACTCAGAGGAGTCCCAAGGCTTGCTGTGGACTGTGTGCTCGGTGTGCGGAGTATCTGAAAGTAATCAGTGTGGCTGGAACAGAGCAAGTGAGGACAAGGGCAGTGGGGATAGAGCTCTTGGAGGGGTGGGCCAGGTCAGAGTGGCCAGGCTCTGGCTGAAGCCAAGAGTGGTAGGCAGAATGATCGCTCCCAAAGTTGCCCACGTCCTAATCCCCCAAACCTATGATTATGTTATTTTACATGTTAAAAGGCCCTTTGCAGATATGATTAACAATCTTGAGATGGGGAGATTATCCTGGATTATCTGGAGGGATATAGCCTAATCACATGGGTCTTTTTAAGAGGGGAGCAAGAAAGTATCATGATGGAAGCAGAGATCAGAGTGATATGGGGTCACGAGCCAGGGAATATGGGCAGCCTGTAGAAGACAGGAGAGGCAAGGAGTCAGATTCTCCTCTACAGCCTCCAGAAGGAAGGCAGCCCTGTGACCCATTTTATGACCTCTAGGACTGTAAGATAATAAATCTGTGTTGTTTTAAGCCACTAGGTTTTAGAAATTTGTTACAGCAGCCATAGAAACTAATATACCAAGCATGGGTTCTGGTGTCTGAGACTCCCTCTCACCCCTCAGAGCAGCTCTTAAGGCAAATTCCAGATCCCACCAAACACTGCATGAAAAACACTGGCCTAGGTGAAACCTCCATCATATAGATGGGGAAACTGGGACCCTTAGAGGGCAAGAAGTTCCCCAAGATCACACAGTGGACCCAGCGTCTGGGGCAGTGTGGGACCCACAGCTCTTCCTATTCCTCTGCAGAGCTGTCTTGCAACTGTCACCTGGAGCTGGCTGGCCCCCCAACCCTCGAGAATCTGAGGATTATTTTCTTGGACCTAGCCATTTTATGACCAACTATGCCCTAAGCTTTCCTAAGCCCCGAGACTTTTGCAGGGTCCTCCTGGCTCAAAATCTCCCCCTTCCTGCCAGAGACCCTCCTTGCCTCTAGGAGCCTGATGGACCCCACCCTGGAGGCCAGAGCACTGTCATGACAGTCCTTGTGGCTGAGCAGCCCCTTGGAAGCATCTCTGCTTCCACCAGGTGGTTGGTGAGAACATTTATCCCCAGGCTGGAGAGGAAGTCCTCTGACTGACATCTTTATCTTCATTATCTTTACCATATCCTCACAATGGCCACATGAGGTGAGGGACCATGATCTCCATTTTACACATGGGAAAACCAAAGCTAGGAGAGGCTGTTCTCGCCAAGGCAAAAGAGGTAACTTGGACGCCAGCCACCCGTCAGTGTTCCAGACAGTCAAGGGTCCCCCTCCACTCTAGGCAGCAGTGGCTCCCTCCGGGCAAACCTCTTCTTGAAGACAATTTCAGGCAAAACCACCCCTACATCCCTCCTGCCCCCCAGCCTTTTCTTGGCTTCCTTGCATCCCCTGAGGGCCACAGTGATCCCTGGGCTCAGGGGCCAGCCTCCTTGGCTCTCCAGCTGGAGAACTGTGTAGCAATATGTCCTTGATGCCCACTCAACTAAGGACAATGATACTGAAAACTGAGAATGCTATTTGCAAACACAACCCTGCTGGCTCGCTGGCTTGGCAGAGGCCTGATGCCCCAGAAATGTTGGAGGTGGAGAGGGCTGGTCATCAGGAGCAGAAGACAGTGGCAGAGCACTGCCCCAGAAGTGCACACAACACTTAGTTCTCTTAGCCCAGTGCATCTTCTCCAGCCCTCCCAGGGAGAAGTTGGCTTCAATTTCACAATCCTGGGTTGCCCCAACAGGACCATATGAGCCTAGAACCATGCCTACCTCCCTAAGCCTCAGACTGTGTGTTTGTCAAATGGGGCCAAGACGAAGAAGTGAAGGAAGGTGGGGGCAAGTGCTTGGTGAATTGTGAAGTGCTGGCATGTGCTCATTCCCTGGAGCACAAACCCTGGCCCAAGACTGGTGGTGGTCTTGACTGATGAGGCTCCTCACCTGGCTATTTGGGGTGGTTGGGTCCCTGCCTTGGAGGTGCTACTAGGGTTACAGAAGAGAGAGTGGGGGCTGCCACCCTCAGGGAGACCTCTAGAGACCAGATAGACAATTTAATGACCACAAGTGACCGCTAAACTTCTTTCCTTCCTGTGACTAGGCCTTCATGTTAAAAGAGTCTCTTTCTGGGATGCCTGGGTGGCTCACTTGGTTGAGCATCTGACTTCGGCTCAGGTCGTGATCTCACAGTTTGTGGGTTTGAGCCCCGCGTTGGGCTCTGTGCTGACAGCTCAGAGCCTGGAGCCTGCTTCAGATTCTGTCTCTCTCTCTGTCCCTCCCCTATTCATGCTGTCTCGCTCTGTCTCAAAAATAAATATAAAATTTTTTTTAAAAATTAAAAAAAAAAAAAGAGTCTCTTTCTCTGACTTCTGGGCCCGCATGTCTGTCCTTCTACTCCACCTTAAATGCCAGTGCCTCCCAGGGCAGTGGGTGGGCACATAGTGTCCCCACATCAGTAAAATGCTTTGACATAACCCAGTGGGGGCTCATGACACACACATGGGCATCTCCTTAAATTCTTCCCTCTTCTGACTTTCTATGTCCTTCCCCTAGTAACAATCTCTGCTGTGCCCGAAAATGATTCCACCCCTGTCTCACTTCCTACAGTCTAGGTGGAGCCAGCCCTATCCCAGAACCCCAGGAGTGGACACATGACCCAGGTCTAGCCTATCAGCCCTTCATCCTTGAGTACTAGTTGGCTCGGAGATGGAAACGGGATCTTTGCTAGCCAGTGAGAGTTGGTCCTGGGATTATGGCTGGATTCTTCAGGAAGAGGTGTCTTACTCTTCAGAAAGAGGGCTGCTGTGCTTGTCAGATGTCAGCCTGGAGTCTTTTGTCAAAAAATCTTGCTTAAGTCTCAGATATGAGAGTCAAGAGACTTTTTGCTTAGTCTGAGTTGGGTTTCTGTATCTTTCAACAAAGAGCCTGACAGATACTGGCCTCCCATCCAACTGATCACTATAGCAGTGGCTGTGGGTGCTTGCCCATATCTCCCATGGACTCATCACTGTGGTGCCCAACAGACTGACTCCCAACCATCAACATCTGCATCCCTGTGGGAAGCAGGGGAGCTTTCTCTAGCAGCTGGAGCCTGTTCTGCCCACATGTGGCTGGCAGGAATTGCCACAGTCTTAACAACCTCCCCTCCCCTAATCTAGCTACAAATCTCAACCAGTGACTGTTGGAGAGCTGGTGTATAAATACCCCCTCAGGTGGGACAACAGAGGAATGGGCTCTACACTGACTCCTGGAGCTGCCCAGTGGCACTGAGCTCCAGTTGCTTGCAGTGGTCACTCTCTTCATTGGCTACCTCCCCTTCCCTGACTTACCTCTTCCCTTCCACGCTGTACTGCCTGTTTCCAAATGAAGTACTTGCACTTGAATCTTTGTCTCGGGCATGCTTCTGGGAAACCCCAGCTATGATAATCACTGAGTCACAGTGATTCTGCCTCAGTTATGTACCCTGATGCCATCTCCTCTCTGTATCCTCTGCCTATGTCACTCCCACCCCTCACCTGGAAGTCTGTACAGCCTTCTCCCTGGTCTCTCTGTGTCCACTCTAAAACTCCTACTATTCAGGTTCCAAACTGCGGCTGGAATGATATTGCTAAAATGTCAAAGCAATAGTATTCTTCCTCTTCAGTGGCTCCTCTTGGCTCTTGGGACAAATGCTTGACTCCTGAGCTTGGCATTCAAGGCCATTGGAGAGATAGTCTCTGGAGACCTCTAACCCTCAGCTCCAGCCACGTGGCTTACTGGTGCTAAAGAGTGTCAGCCTGGGGAAGTGACAACTTAAGTTCTCACAGCAAGGCCACTCCAGGCCTGTTATCTGGATTTCTTGACTCAACCCAGGCCCCAGCCCCCT